CATGATGTTCTTTCTAACTTGGTGGTGGCTCTACATCAACTGTCTCTGCTAGTATTAGGTTCAAACTTGTCTGCAGCCTTGTTTTTTTTACTAAATAACTCCTTGTACTACTAAACTGCCACATCAGTATATGTTGGAAAGCACTAATATATCAAACCAGAATCAGTATGCTTTGTCTTCTATACCTTTATATGAAGACTCCTGTATATTAGTTGGGTACAGGCTATATTGTGTAATTAAGTTACTTCCAACTATATTTGTAATATATAATACTACTTCCAGCTTTCATTTGAATTGGTTGATATTTAATGTTGATGTGCTTTTGCATTGAAGTTGTACTCTGTTTGTATTACTACTACAAGCATAATGCTTCTAATCTAATTCAAGTTTTTATATATCTTTATATATTGACCTAACTCTCTACATGTAGAACTTTCCAATTTTAGTTGTTTGTATATTATTAGAGGTACTTTTTATTTTGGTAAAGCTAATTCTTTATCACAAATTATCCTCATATTCACTGCTTATCTTGCTATTCCAGTTTGATAGCATCATATTACTCTTTGAAGCAAGTACCCAATATCAAGATTCTAAATCAAAACTTATATACACAATTCAATGATTATATTCCCAAACAAGTACTTCACAAGTTGGATATAAAGATGTTGATATTGCCTTTTTAGTGATAAAGAGATGTTGGTGCTGCTTGTGCTTATGAAAACTTACTTATATAATTGTTTTACTATTCAGACCTTCTGTAATACTGCTATTATATATAGTGCATACATTTTATAAGTAGATCTCCTTTCAGGAATTCCTATTTCAAAACTATACTTGCAATTAGACTTTTTACAAAACTTTATATCTGATTATGGCATTATAATATTACAGTAACAAAATTAAAAATTTGCTATCAGCTCAACTTGAACTGTTGAACTTGTTTGTAGAGGTTTGGAAGTTTAACTTATAAGGCCCAAACTCTTTTATTAGTTTTACTATTAATTTGTATAACTATATATATATACTTGTATACAAATAGAAATTCTTTTATTTAAATTATTATTATTTAGATTTAATAAATTTAAAATTTAAAATTAATTTAATAATTTATATAAAAATTAATAATTTTATTAAATTACTTTTTTTTTTGTAGTCAAGGTTAACCTCTTTGGCTTTCTACTTTTATTAGATTATAGAATTATATAATGCTCTTTTCAAAGGGACCCCAGACAAGTACATTATGACGAGAGTATATTCTAACCATATCTGTGCCTTTTGAGTGCCTAATTTAAGTAGTCTGCCTATTACTAGGTTCTACACTAAATGTTGTATCTATAACCCACTATTATTTAGGTTACTCAATTAAACTCTTTAATCTGAATTTCCTATGCCAATTCATTTAATCTTACCCAGAACATGCGATACATAAGTCAGTCTAAGTTTCAAGATTGTTATGTGCCACCTATAGGACTACTAATATAGTTAACTAATTCATCTTTAAATGCATCACCTGCTAGAGCAGTCTGGTATCTACAATTAGGATCTACCACAAAATCCCGACATCCAAAATCCTGACAGCACAAATCCTGACAGTGCTAATCCCGACGTACATAATCCCAACAAGATAAAATTCTGACATGTTAAATTCCAACAAGATAAAATTTCGACAAGATAAAATCCCAACAAGATAAAACTCCGACAAAGATAAAATGCCGAGTAAGACAAAATTCTGTCAGTTCAAAATCCCGAATATGGCAATTAATAATTGAAATAAATTGAAAAATGATGCGAAACATGCATAGATTTGAATATACGCATAAGTTTAAATGCATCGTAATAATTTCTTTATTAATCGTATATTTATACAAATATTTGTTGAAAAGCACCATATCAATTTCAAATTGAAAAATGAAATGCGTCAATTAATAATTGACATTGAGAAATAACGCATAACATATATAGTCCGATTGTCTCATTATATAACGGTCTTTGCAACATTCGTTTGTAGTGTTTATTCTATACATTTAGCCCTTCATATGATGACGGGTTCTAATACTATTAATTACTGAAAAAAGTTAGCGTTAGTATCGGTATAAGATCTTTATTTAATATAAACGTACTTTTTTCATAATTGTTCTGATTTCTCAGATCGTTCCAGATTGATACAAGTTTTTAACTTGTATATCCTTACCACAAGACAATTTCCAAGGTATTTGATGTTGATCTGGATCATGAGATCAAGAATAAATGTTCAATCTAACCAAATCATCAGAACCGCCCGATTTGGAAATCACGCTTTTTATCCAATCAGTGTTCATCACGTCGAATTTACATGAACGATCTGTGTGTAACGTTAAAATACCAGGAACGGAGTGATGAAATCACGAAGTGTATGGTTATACGGCGATCGAAATTGACGTTAGTCTGCAAAATCTTGTATCTGATTGGTCCGTGTGATACTATATGTCACTTAGTGTTTATTTATTACATAACCGGCGTCACATGAAACATATTGAATGTGCTCCCGGATAATAACTCGAGTGTTTGAAACCTTTGGTGCTAAGGCTTTATGTGTATGAATACGTGGTTGAAGTTTTGATGGTTGCAAAGCCGATTAATTATGTTCTTTTTGGTAGTTCAGTTCATCTTGTTATAATGTAAGGCTGCAAGTAAAATTTTATTATGTATTAAGTAGCCGCATACATATTGATTGAATAATATAATGGACAGAGGTCTTTTCATAAAAAAAAAAAAAACTTATTTTATTACCAACGCTTTTGTTCTATAAAATATTAATTATTGCAAAAAGATTGGAAAAACCTGAAAAAAATTCAAACCAAGAACAATGGATTGGAGGATGATAGATAATATGCGCGATGGCGAATTCGATGCTTTGGTACTGGAGACGGTAATACTGTCAGGATCTTAAAATAAAAAAAGAACCAATCAATTTAATGAATTTCCATTTTTAGCTATTACAGGTAAAATTTAAATGATTAAATTCCTTATTCATAACTATGATAATTATTCAATAAGCAAAAAAAAAAGTAATGTTAACCCTAACAATGTATATCGGATGAGGATTTTTGTCGATAATTCTTACTCACTTTTAATATCAAGCTAATCCCGATTTTACTGCTTTGAATATCCTTCTAATTATGGAAATCTAAAATTAGTTCGATTCGTTAACATTTACTCTTAAATTGATTACTAAATATGGATAGCTAACCGTAAATGAACAAGATATTTTACATCATCGTTTATATTGAAAAGGATAAAGCCTTTAACTTCTTTACGTGTGTACTAATGATTTCCGCCAGACAGCCTATTTTATCTGTAGAATAATGCAACTTGCCTTTTTCCTTTAATATATATAATCATTGAACTATTTATCTGGAAAGGCATTTAAAGGGAGATGGAAATTAGTGTTAATGCTGTAGATTTAAAATTTGGGTAAATATTATCAATTGAATAGATCCCCTGACGTTTATCATTAGTGCTCTAAGACGGGTTTAGACATTCATTACTTACTAATCGATCTTGCTTTTACTTGCTTTGTAAAATCGATATGAATTTCCCGATATTGAAATTAAATATCTGTTTTATCATATTAGTCGTACTTATATTGCAATTATTGGTGCGAAATTTGAATATAAAAACTTGTTCATTTCAGGTATTAGTTGCGTTACATCTCTGTATCCTTTTGGTTATTACACATTCAATTTTAAACTCGGAATTGAGTTTACCTGATCGTGATCGAGAATTGGGTGATTTGTAAACTGAACAAAACTGCACTTTTTGGATTGTTTAAATTGTGATGCTGTTATCCACCTAAATTCATGATTAAAAAAGTTAGTTTGTTTTGCTAAAAAAAAAAAAAAAACGCTTATCGGCAAGTAATCTGGTTTGATATTGTTTTATTTTCCTGCGATTAAATTTGTAAAGCTATAATGTGATCGATTGTTTTAACGCTATTTGGTTTGTTTTGTTAATAGTTCAAATTGAGTATTTTTATTGTGGCGCGAGAACAATATTTCAGGTATTTCATTTGTTTTAATCTTATAACGAGATCCTGATAACTGCGCGAAATAAGTTAGATTTATTAATAGTACGAATTGAGTATTTTTATTATGGCACGAGAACAATGTTTCAGATATTTCATTTGTTTAATCTTATAACAAGACCCCTGATAATTGCGTGAGATATGTTAGATTCATTAATAGTATGAATTGTGTATTTTAATTTTGGCGCGAGAACAATGTTTCAAATTTTTTATTATAACAAGACTGATAACTGCGCGAGGTCTATTAATGGAGAATATTGTTAATCAAAAAACATATGATTTTATGATTAAGCATTTAGGTTGTTAAGTTTATCGATTTTTTTTTTATAAAAATGAGCTTTGGTGAATTTTTTTTTTATTATAATAAATTTGTAAAAAAATTTTTTGAGTAAAAAATGCCATCCCATATTGCCTTACTTGCTGTTATCATCACTGTAAAGAATAATAATTTCTCCTTATATAGCCTTGCTAAATACAAACTCTCTGAACAAACTTCTCATATTATTAAATTTAAATATTTCTTTTCTAGTAATTCGCCTTCTCAATTTTTTACATCTGGTGACTTGGTGTTTATTTCTGGTAAATGTGCTGTTGAAAATTCTGAACAGTGCGTGACCATTTCGTATGCTAGTATTATTGATAATAGTCCAAATCATGAATTTGACCTTGCCGGGGTCCTGATATGCATTCCCCACTGTATGTTTTCTGTCATCGTCAACCATAACCTGAAAAGAACAGAAAATTTCATCCATTTTGGTGCCAAATGCACTAAGTATAACTCTGTCACAAGATCCTCTAATGTTAAAATGGATATGACGGTTCTTTATCTCGACCAATCTATAAGATTTAAGCATTTGGGTTCTTTAGGGTCAAATATCAGAATCACGAATACCTACTTGTATCTGGTCTTTTTAGGTTTTCAGATTCTGGCAAAATTATGATAGAAGCCACTGATATCAACTATTCAAAACTGCCCCTTCTGACTTTTAACACTCCTGAAATTGCTTCCTCCTCTTCATCAAACACTCGCTCGATTTTTGATATTATAGCTGATGACGTCGATTTTGTTGCTGACAACTCGTCTAAAAAACCTTCTTATGTTGAGCATAGCACTATTTCTATTTCTAGTTCATCCAAAACCATAGTTGATGTCGATGCTAATTTGTCTCTTGAAAAGAGTAATTATATTGAATTGGATGCTGAAGATAAGAATAATGGCAAAGAACATGATTCTGAGCGTGAACACAGTAAAAATGAAAATTCGTTGTGTAAAAATGATCAAGAAGAAGATTACCAGCCTAAAAAGAGAAAACGAGGTACAAGAATTATTAATAAGAATAAAGGAAAAAAATGACAAGGAAATGAAAGAAACTGATATAATTAGGTTATTTTTACATTTTAATGTTTTGTTATTGTGTAATTATGTTATCTTTTCATTCTATCAAACTTTATATCTGGCTTAGTCTTGACTTCATAATATGCTTTTTCTTTGTTTTTTTATTTATTAGTTAGTCTATGCAATAAATATACATATATATTTATATTAAAATACAGGATATACTCTTTATCATATTACCATTTACTCTTTCAAAAAATATGTTCTAATTTTTATCACGTACTAAATGTCTAAATTGCTCTCACCCAAATAACATTACGCTACCGAAAAATATATTTGCATCTGCTTCTATAACGTCTAGTTATGCTTTCTGCTAATTCTTTTTATCATGTGATTAGTATAGCATTAGATTGATTTCCACAGCATAATATTAATTAGGCGATTTCACTATCATGTTTCTTGGCTACATTTGTTTACTATTATAGCTAGTACTTCACAAAAGCGAATCAGAGTTTGAGTTTGAAATCAAATATTTGATCAAGTCAAATTTGATCAAATATTGGATTAAATCAAATTCAAATTGATCAGATTGATCATGAAATATTTTATGGTCATTTACCCATCCCTACTTGCTGTTCACCAAGCAAAAATATTTGAGAAGCATACGTGTAATTGGTCATGTGTTTGAAAAATGCCAGCTAGCCAAAAGTGCTAAAAATAAATTCAATTAAAGGACTTAAAGTCCGCAGAATACATTGTGAGTAATTTTTTTATTTTCAGCACCTTTGGCCAGCTGGCATCCTTTCAAACACATGACATTCTTACCTGTGCTTTTCAAATATTTTTGCTTGGAGAACAGTTAGTAGGGATGAGTAAATGACCATAAACTATTTCATGATCAATCTGATGAATGATCATGAACTAGTTCATGGTCATATTTGATCAATTTGAATTTGATTTGACTTGCTTTTTACTTGTTCTACTGTTATGATAATACTCAGCACAATTTCACTTGCTAATTTTCCTAAGTACATATCATCATTTTAATTTGAATTACCTAGCTCAAATTACTTAGTATATTTTGCAGACTTAAAGTAATTTAATATAATTTATTTCTCGCTCCTTTTGCTAGCTGGCATTCATCAGATCACATGACTACTAGCAACTGTGCTTTTCAAATATTTTTACTTGATGTACGGTTAGTAGGGATGCATAAATAACTGTAAATCATTTCATAATCAATTTGATAAATAATCGTGAACTAGTTCACAATCATATTTGATTAATTTGAATTTGATTTAATCCAATATTTGATCAAATTTGACTTGATCAAATATTTAATTTCAACCTCAAACTTTGATTTGCTTTTTAGAGCACTAATAATAGTATGAGATACTATACTTCGATTCTGTTCTTTTACTATTTTTAAATTTATGTGTATTAAGTCGGTTAACTTTAAACAATACATATAAAATATCGATCGCAAACTGTCAAATCCAACTATTCTGATTTGGTTAGGAATAACTAAATTAATTCCTAAAAAAGGATAATAATACAAATAAATGCGTTAAACTTCCGGAATCTTGTAAAATTAATATGATATTAACCTTATTAAGCAATTAGATAATTGCTAGATCGAAATTATATGATGCAATTTAAATTTAAACTTATTTTGATAAAACAATGTAACCTTATTATTAAGTACCGATTAAAGTTCTTGAACAATATGTTAAATATGTTAGTATATTGGTATAAATACCTCGGTTGAAATTTGAAGAACATCAGAATTTTTTTACCTTCCTTTTTAAAAACAATCTTAAAAAAACTTCTCTTATTCTAAATTATTAACAAATCACACCAATATTGCTATGAATCATATAGAAACTCGAGGAGAAGCTAGAAAAAGAAAAGAACGTGAACGTAAAGCAGCTCAGCGTAATAACCCTCAAATGAGAAAATCAAGTAATAATAAATCTTAACAATGTATGGCTAGACTTTGACAGGATCCAAACTATATCAGTATGTCTAATATCTCAGAATAAATGTCGAAGAATAAAAAAAGCTGCTCAAGATAAAAATTTAAATTTAAATATTTCTTTGTATGCTTTGGAAATGGATCATAAATTTGAAATGATGCTCGCACAACATTCATCATGGCCTCAACTCATAAGTTCTGAAATATCAAAAAATGTATTAACTGAATTTCATGATAAAATTAACCTTAATGAATTACGAGAATTACCTTATGCGGCTTGTTCAGGGCTTCATAATTATAAAAATTATAAAATAATTTCTGCACAAGATATTGATCTTTCTTTACTTAAAGCACCGATTGATCTTCTTAACTCTTCATTTGAAATTGATTTTGATTATAAACATCCTTATATTAACAATACTAAAATAAATATTCATCTTGATCGATTTGGTTTTATTTATTCTGCCTTAGCAAATTCTAACAACCCTTTTCAGCTACGAATTTGTAATACTTGTTATGATTCCTTAAAAAAACATAAGACCCCACCTTTATCTTTAGCTAATAACATGTGGATTGGTCCCACTCCATTATGTCTTCAGAAATTAACTATACCAGAACAAATTCTTATTTCACTTGTGTATTCGTGTATGAACCTTGTTCAATTGATAAAAAAAAAATATACACATCATAAACTTAAGTGTCATGTTATAACATTCCCTCAAAACTCTGGATCATTAACGTGTATATTACCTTTGCCAGTATATAGACTTACCAAATATTTAAAAGTTGTTTTTGTTGGTAATGGCTCTCTTACTGGTAATCAATTAAAAAAAAGTGCTTCAAGTCAGAAAAAGCAAAATAATAATTGCTTTTTGATGGCTTTTTGAACATAATAAACTGTTCAAAGATAAAATTATAATCGATGAAAATGCTTTGAGTATTTTGCCTGAAGGAGATATTCCTGAAGCTCTACTTATAACTACTACGGTTGTGGATATTGATTCTTGTATAACAGAACATTATACTAGCTATAATTCACATGACATATCAGATGATTCTGATTCTGATAGTGAGAGTAACGATGATAGTAATCAAAATTTAAGAAACTTCATTAGTAATAATTCTATTAATATTGCTTGTGAACTTAAACCATTTACGATATTACATGTTGACGATGTACAAATTACTAAAAGATATCTTACTTTATCATCTTTTCAAAAGATGGTAGACAAATCTGATTCACAAATAACCTTAAAACAAAATAACATATCAAATAACATATTTGAGCAATCCCATATAATCTGTATACCCCGTGGTGACAAACCTCTAAATAAATACAATGATTCTTCTCTCTTTTCTGTGGGGTTTCCAGTTCTTTATCTATATGGAGTCGGGGGCCATGAAGGCAGGCTAACGCATATATCATTAAAAAAGTATTCTAATCACCTAATGCGTCATCATGACCCCAAGTTCAGGCAGCACAGATCATTTTCTTTTGTTCTCTTTGATGTCTTGCAATGTCAAGAAGTTTCAACAGAATCTTATAACCTAATCAGAAATAAAAATTTTGAACAGTCTGCACAATTAATCTCTATATTAAAACAAGAAGACATAAAGCTGGCTATAGAACAGGAACAAAATAATCAAAAAATAACCAACCCGGCTATTAATGAACTTCTCAAAAATATAAATACTGCTGGATCAAGACTGATGGCCTCTTGTCAGTCACGTGCTCATATGCGCAACGAAATACGTGCTATCATTATATATGATAGTACACCTATGCTGTTCATAACTATTAATTCTGCTGACCTTCATAGTCCTGTTGTTATGATGTTTGCAGGAAATGAAATAGATTCTGAAAAACTTACTCCTAAAACTTTTCCAATAGCTACTGAAAGATCTCGTCTTGCCCATCTTGATCTTTCTGCCATAGCAAAATATTTTGATATAATTATACAACTAATTATAGAATCTTTGCTTCGTTATAATAAAGAAAATAGTGGTATATTTAGTAGTGTAAAAAACTATTATGGGATTGTTGAATATCAAGATCAGGGTACACCTTATTGTCATATGCTAATTTGGTTGCATGGTCCACTTGATTCATCTAATATTCATAATAAGATTAAAGAAGATGTCGAATTCCGTCAACGTTTATTATATTATGTTAGCGATATTGTTCGAGAAGATCTCAGCTATTTACTTTGTAAAGGTGAAGTTTTAACAGATGAAATGCTTAAAGCTAATTATGCTGTGCCAAAAACAATGATTGAAAAATGAATGCACCCATCTTTTATGCCTATACCCGATCCCAATTCATCTGATTTTGAAGAAAAATTTAAACAAGATTTACTTGCTATTACCAAACGTACCCTTTTTCATTGCTGTAATCGGTCCTGTAAAAAATATAATCATGGCTTACAAAAGCAATGCAGGTTCGACTTTCCAAGAGAGTTAGTTGATCCTCCTGAGATGATCTTTTCTGATCAAGGTATTATTGCTGTCCAACGTATTAATGCCTATATTAATAATTATAACCCTTATATAACTGCCACGTATAGAGCAAATAATGATATTAAATTTATTGCAACTCGTAAATTGGCTTTAGCATATGTTTACTACATTACTGATTATATTACTAAATCAGATCTTAGCACACATAGTTCTTTTTTAATATGTGCCTCAACTCTGCAATTATTTTTAACCCAAACATCAGATAAAACATCAATTGATCTTGTGAATAATTCTCACAAACTTGTAACAAAATGCCTTAATAAGATAGTAGGTCAATCGAACTTACAAGTTCACAAGTTTCTGCCTACTTGTTAGGTATTAATAACCACTATACCCCGACCAAGTTTGTATCAGTATATCTTCGATCTTTTGAAAATTATCTTATGAAAGAATGGGAAAAGTATAATCAATCCTTTGATGAAGACCTAAAAGAATTTGAAGATTATTCAGATAATGATCAAGATAACTAAAATAATGCAGATGAATCATTTATAATAACTTCTTTTAATAATATATTAACTACAAT